GTCAAACGCACGCCAGGGATCCAATATGGCTTGGCGATTAATGTATTATGCGGTACATGATAACGCTTCCCAGGCACTGCAATTATAAGCATAGCGCCGTGGCTTTTGACATCGATTGCATCTCTGCAATTTCTTACAATTGGTACCACGCAAATTTGTCTTCTCAGCGTAGCAGAGGCCCATCGATTCCACGCCTTCAATCTCTTGCTGCCTCGGGAGACTATAGATATACCTACTTGATATAGATTTATTCACGCTAAATTTATTATTTTGCAATTCAAATTGATTCTTTTAGAGCATTGTGGTAAAGTGATGGACTGTGAGCTCGGTATTTGTGTGGTAAAGTGATGGAACGGTTAGACAATGACTGGAAGCCTGGAGAAGATCATGTTAAGTAAAGATTGAAATGTATACAGGCCGGCCAGATATTGCATATCAGCTACACGTGCAGGGGGCTATTCGGTTAAGTCGATCGAGATCGGGAGATTAAAGCTTGGCTTCCGGATAAGGAGCAAAATGTAGTCGACCAATGGTGGGAAGATGGCCGTTCAAGCATACGCCACCGCTAAATAGCCAAATGAGATGACCCCGCGCTTCATCGCCATCTGAGTATGTAAAAAAGGGGACCGAGATCGAGGGACAGAAAGTAGTGGATCACAATCAGGAGACCGCGATCCAGAGTGGGCCAACTAATTTGGAAGTTATGCAAATTAAATTGGAAGGGAGGTGACACGTGGCAGCACGTACTGACCTCCGGGGTTAGCATAGTCATAGTTTAGAATTTGGTTACTACGCATTAACATAGTTCAATTTGCTTCTAAACACATTTGTATCGCTATTCTTCGGGGCGTTATATCTGGTCTCCCGACATCAGAGAACTTTTGTACTACTAGCGAGATGATCACTCATGGGGCTATTTGGCCATAGTTCAATAACTCTCAACACTCTTCAACTACGATCAGACGAGGAAACCTTACTGGTTGAAGCTCAAAATCGCGAGACGGCTCAAGTGGCCAAAAGTCTAGAGACTTAAGTACCCCATTTTCGGCACAAGGCGATCAAGGCTGATCGCGGCAACTCTGAGAGAGCGCCAACCAATAACACACGACCCGGTGAGGAAAATTACTAGCTCTACACCAAATCCTACAAGGTTCATGTTCGGAATCGATAATAATTCACCTAGAAAAATGAAACTCGCCCTGCCGATGGGTGCACAAGGTGAGGTTAAAGCAAGTGCAAGCGCAGGCGGAGTACACCATCCGATAGTCGCTCATCTGGACACCAGTGGAGAGTGAAGATTGCCTCTGAGAGCAAGAGAACCTCACTCAAAGCATTTTCAAACTTTCATCGGAAGAGGTCGGTCTTGAATGGAACGTACGTGAGACCCTGCATGAATATCGTAATGAACAGTTGTTCACTAGGCTATTTGCTGAAATGCAACTAGTGCGATGACGCATGTACTAGATGTATGAGTGTACTTCATGTTTTTCTTGTTTAAGTTTGAGGATGTCAGAGAAAGTTCTTAACTCATCTTGTGGCGGTTCAAAGGTTAGTTTGAGCCGAAATTTGAAGACCTATAACGACCCAAAGAAATATGAGTCGTGAAGCTTGTGGCCCCAGGGCCAAGTCTTCGCGCGTCCTGCCAAGCTCGAATCAACAAATGTGACCTGAATTTGGTCGCCGACGATGTTACAAGCCCTACTGGTGTCATCCAGCTCAACAAAAAAATTTAGCAGGTAGTATCATTAAGAAAATTTGTAATTGGGGATGTCAATATTCAGCAATTCGGGTCAACGTGTGGATGTCGACCCGGTAGCAGCAACCTCCTGCTGTCTCAACAGCTCGAACTGGTGAGCACTCTGTTTTTTCAATAGATCTTACTTTTGTTGATGAGACCCATTTTAATGAAGCTAGACTAATTTTCCCGGTTAGCGTCAAATGCATCCTGAATGAGCTCGTGGCGTGTTTCCAGTCTGGACCCAGAGCGAACAGCACGCGCCTACGGGTTCTTACATTATCGTCGAAACCTACTGTTTTTTTGGCGGCATCCCATTTTATTAGAACCAAATTATAGTAGCTGTCATGCGTTAGATGGAAGTTTTCACTTCAAACCATACAAAGTATATAAAGTCGTTGGATGGGAGTCTTTCGCATCATCATCAAACATGTTCATATTTGTTGAACGGACTACAAAGTGCTCTAGCTGTAATAGGGTCACAATCGCTTGTAATGTGTGGTAGAGTGGCAATCGCTCATTTTATGAGGCGATCCCGACTCGCCACTGGTGCTCAGACGACCGACTATCGTAAAGGGTACTCCTTTTTTGTGCCTTCAGTTTCCTTCCTCACCATGTGTAACCGTCGGCAGGGCGGGATGCACTCTTCTTGGTGGACTCGTGTCGAAAGAAAATTGACTGTGTTGCGAATGGGGTTTGTGGTCTCACGGAAACCTTTACACGATCACGGGTATGCTCGTAGTTTACTTGGTGTAAGCCATCTCGGTCTAAACGAGATTGCCTTGTCCACTAAGTGGATTCTTGATACGCGAGCTTTCTGATTGCTCAAGCCGTTTCGCGATCTTGCGCCTTGTCCTTTACGTTCTTGCTGCGTCCAATCGCAGTTGGGATTTTCTTGTGAATTCTTGACCCCCATCCAAAAATGTTTTGGGATAGCACTTGATTACAGTTTGTGTGGCTTTCTTGACGTCGAGAGGACAGTATTCCAGCCCAGAAGGGAACTCGACTCGTGTAATTATAAGCAAACACAATTTTGTTCAATGTCAACCAACCAAAATTTAAAACTACGAATGTGCCTGTCTGTAAGTGAGGATATGCTGCCACGTGTGCTCTACATCCCGTAGATCGTTCCTTCGCACATGTGGTCCACTTCCGATAGATCATTGATCCCCTTTACCAATCGTCGATTTCCTTGGGTGGTCATCGATCTCACTGATCGTTGATCTCCTTGGGTGGTCATCTATTTAACCAATCGTTGATCTCCATGGGTGGTCATCGATCTCACTGATCTTCAATCTCCTTGTTTGATCATCTTCTGATCAAGCGTCAATCTCCTGATCGTCGATCACTCCAAGACCGTGTTTACCGCCAACTTTTCGGTCATCTCCCCGGCGTTAAACAACTTATGTGTTCCCGATGTAGGTTTCTTGCCTCGATCTTGGCACTTAATGTTCAATACCGTTGCTTTGATATTTGATCGCGGTATTGCAATATTCACACTCGGTATCGTGGTATTCGGTCTTGATATGGCGATATTCGGTCTAAATATTGCACAGCTTAACAGCCAATCGATTGTTCTCACTAAAATGTCGCGGTTGAGATCACTCCAAACAATGATCGCCCCCGACTGCTTCAATCAGCTTTACTGCACTGTCACAGTAGTAGATTTTTAATTGTGTGAACACAGAGTCAGGTGGTGCCTCGGAACTTCATGTACACGTATCGTGTAGAGGAAGGTTTCAATGTAAGATGGTGGTAGAAGTAGAACTGTTTTAATATTATTGATCTCCTTTTATTACATCCTGTTTATCTTCCTTGAACGATGCCTAAATACACCGTGTATTGTTACTACCAGCTTCCACTCATTGCGCTATTTCGTCGTGGCTCGGATTGATTAGTTGATGTCATCACTTAATATTAACAAATCAACGTTTTATTACTCCGGTATCACAAAATATCTGTTAATCTGATATTTTTATTACGATGTCTGTCTTAACAAAAGGTTAAGCCCAAAAGTGAAGCTATTAGTGAGTGCGCGAGGTAGTATGTGTAACGGGGTAGCCTGGTACGTGATATTGACACCAAATGGTGTTAATAGGGATATTGTCTAGCGTGACAATATCCTACTAATATCATCCGAGATGGATAATATGAAATTTTTTTATCCCCTTTGAGGATGATATTCATGCGCTGCTCAAAGATTGGTTGATAAAGACACATCAACCTTAGATTACCACCAATCGCTGCTTGACGCGCGTGATGAGTGGAGGGCAGGTTGTCGTCACACGACTACGTAGATTAGTATCGCTAGATAAAGATTAAAGTTATGTTGATACCTTAACAATATCAAATACAGTTCTCTTTTTACCCTTACTTAAACGAGTCGTTGAGTAGATTAGCTTCCTCTGCACGTACTAGTGTACGTGAAGTTTCGTGGCACCCCAAACAAAGGGTGTCCCGTTTCACAAAAAAACTCACAGCAGTCAGTATAGCCATATAATTTAAGTTTTTCGGTCGAGCGTGACTCACCTATTATTTGGTCCACAGTTAGGCTCAACGATACAATGTTGCTGGTGTCATTCAGGACCACGTCGTCGACTTCAAATGACCGCTTTTCTAAATAAGCTGCAGCCGATGACATGCCACTAATCTTCGTCAATGACCTAATTGATCACAAAATCCTGAGCCAATGACATGCAGCCAAAAAAGGTATATTGGGTGTCACGGAACTACAAAACATAGGCAGGATAACGAAAATGTAACTTTTTCTCGAGTTGTCCCCGAGTCATTTCGCTGCTGTGGTGCACATTTATGCGTATAACTAAATAACGCTTCATGATTGGACTGAAATTTAAGCTATACTGACTGCTGTAACTGCTCTAAGCTACTTCAAAATAACACCGATGTCGTTCCTGATTGGCACCTGTTGCAACACTGCCTAGCATTGGCTGTCGTGTCTGCAGCGAGGTGTAGCAGGATAATGGCGCAAACAAACCTCTGGAAGCTCGTTCATCCAGCCAACCAAAGCGATATTATCTTGCGGTAGATGACTGTAGAGAATGACTACTTGAGCGTCAGTAGCAACAAAAAGCTCCGAAAAGTGGAAGTAATTGAGCGTGAGAGCTGGGGCCAGCGCAGAATTTAAACTCCAGATCCTTGCACGGAAAGATGCAACATTCTTCGTATTTACGAAGCAAATGGCGAAGTTATTCCTAACAAACGCTCTTGTCTCGTCTGATGTTCAGCATTCCACTGAATCGTTCCTTTACATCTGCACGTTCCAGAAATCCGTTTGAACGTCGTGCCTGAAGATGTACGACTCAACGAAGCCTGGGTCCGTGACAGTCGACGTCTGATAGTTGTAGATTAGCGCCTTGCGCTCTACTTTCGGGTCCTTAAAGTGCAACGCGTTCTTGCGAGCTTCGTCAATGAAAAAGTTTGCAAAATACTGCCCAGCCGCAACGCCTTCACGTGAGTGGTCTACAACCTCGTACGGAGTTCCGTCAAGGTACTCTCCATACTCGAACATGTTCTTCTCAGGATGGAACTGCACGGCGTAGATTGGGTATTCTTTGGCTTCATAAGCCGATATGAACTCAACCCCTTGTCGATCCATATTCGTCGCAAGCACCGTGTAAAGGTCCGTGAGGGACGTGTACTGGTTGAACTTGTCCGGGGTGATGCCCTGCTCGTGGTTGTTCATAGTGATGGGCTTGTCCTTGAGCAACGAGTAGAGCTCAGGACTAGCCTGACGGAACATACGACTAGTCGGCGCTTTATCCGTAAAGTTTAGGGGTAGACTGATGTTCGAAGAGTCGAATCCGCTATCCAATGAGTCCGCATCTTTCGTTGTAAGTTGCACGAGCCACTCCAAACCCAGACAGGTGCCCCAGACGGGGAAGTATACATCTTTATCATTAAGTTCGATTGCCAATCGGAACAGCCACTCGGCACGGTCATTGACAGTGGCCGCACCTCCAGGGAACAAGAGACCATTGAGTTGCGGCAGCAGCTGCTCTAGGTATACTTTGGGCGCGTTATACCGAATGGGAACCACGCGGCCACCCGCACTTTCGATCCACTTGACGTACGACGCCGCGATGTATTCACCATGACGAGAAATTGGATGCGCAAAGATACCGATGATCGGACCACGGGCACTGGGGCCGGCGAGGGAGAAGCTCAAAGCTACAGAGCAGACGAGTGACAAGATCGACTTGAACTGCATGCTCATGATTTAGATGTGTGGATGTGCAAGGGGATCCAGTGAAGAGACACGGACATCATTTGGGATGTGCAAGGGGGTCCAGTGAAGAGACACGGACATTTGATTGGCTAGGTTTCGGAACCGGCTTTGTCCAGTAGAATCGAGTGAAACGAGCAAGTCACGAGGTCATCACGTTTCAAGTGGACCAAAGCGGTAGTTGGTCCTTCGATTCGTAATCAAACAGCAAGCAACTTCTAATAAAGTGTGACAATATGTTAGACGCTTACTACTTACGTACAGCCCTGCTTCACAAGATCTATCGAAGGCGCTTTGTTCCTTCGATCCAGATTGATCTTTCTCGCCGTGCTTGCATTGGTGGGCCTGGCTGCGAACGAATGTGGTCTATCCAGCGCAGAGCTGACATACCAAATACAACCCACCAAACGGTGAACGGTTTGCGTGCAATAGAATGTACTTGGTTATGAAATGCTTTCAGCTCATCTGGTGCAGCGTATGATGAATAGTGATGCACTGCAAGCGGAATAGTATCGCTGTATTCACCAAGCGATTCAATCATAAATAAATAGGAAAGGGCAAACGTACCGGTCACGAGTGGGTTATTGTACCGGCGATCAATTTGGTCAATCAAAATGTGACTCTCAAATCTTAATCTGCATACCAATCTGAATCAAATGATTCCATCCTAAGGCTGATATACCTACTCTACTTCGATTTTTAATCGGATTTGCCGTCATGGCAATTTCTAGCAGGCCATAAGCTACAAAGCGAAAGTTCAGAAAGCGGAGTGGATTCAGGTACGCCAACAATGCCTGAATAGAATCGATGATTTGACGCAGTAATAATCTTGAGAGGCACACTACACTTGCTTCATGCGCACATCACCAACGGTGTCGGTACCATCAGTACAGCCAACATCAACAGCATAAACGTCAAGGGAGGCCTACCTAAGGCATATTTAGACAAGTCTTCAACGACAGTGAACTATCAAAGGCGTTATAATAGCTAGAAAAGAAAACACGATAAACATGTTGATCGGCGTCAATGTAGCGGGAGTGTATAAGTATTCTATAATCAAGGCAATCGGTGATCTCTGCGTCTCCTCCATCATCATTTTCTTTGTAACCCAACACCATCCAGCAAAAAATGCGATTAAAAGTGGGAATCAGGGTAAGTATGTCAAAAAGGATGGCACCGTAAAGTGGATTAGGCATGACAATCGAGATCGTTGAATAACTTTTTTTTTGATTGGCCTAAAATGATCACGGGTGCAATCACCAATTTATATCGGTACGTAAAACCTTCTAACTTTTTATATTCATCCTTCGACTATCTGCGCAAATCACCGCAGCTGTTGTTAGCCATTCCACACAACCTTGATGCATTCTCGATCGGGAAAATCAGTTTTATCTTCCTCTGAATGATCACGTCCAGGCACAAGAAACTTTGCGTCATCTAATGCGCAGAAAACGACCCTTACAATGGGTCTTGGCTACACGATTGCGTACATAGAATCTCACTGTGATATCGTTAATGAACTGTTTGCTGTACGGAGTATCTGGTATTGTACAGGCAACGAATTCGAACGGTTGTCTGCTGTTGTACCTCAAACTTGGACCATCACACAGTATCGGACCTCTATGCCTCATAACTATATCTGCATCTCAGACACACCTGCGACTCGCTATAATCGGTTAACTTGTAGACACACGAAATCGCATCCGGTATTCATGACCTTTTTGCAAGTGTTAGGTAATGCGGGTCAGTATACACGCATTCGATGGCAGGTGGTCGCACTCTACGTCAGTCGCCATTTTCATGGACTTTCTCAATCTCACGGGCCAATGATGTCGTGTTACGACATCGGACATGGCGTTTCAACGCTTTCTGCCTCGCTGGCTGAATGGCCGAAACAGCTAGGACACCGCAATTTCTGTATACACCTGGCGTTTCTAGTGGTAAGCGTCGCAAGCCACCCCGATACGTAAAGGACACAAACGTGCTCCTGATCTACGCTATTTTACTGAAAGGTTTCTGACTTTGCTCGATCCGTCTGTGTTCTTCTAGAGTGGACCCGAGCTAAAAGCCTATCTTTGCTGTCGCATGAACACGTTCAGGCTGCCTGTCCTGTCATCGATTGCTTGCTCTCGAGACAGCAAATGCGGTCTTCTGTTTCGTGCCCCGAGGCTTTAACGTGGGCTGTGGTCCGACGACCACCATACGCGTACCAACGGACGCTGGTTCCGGTGAAACTCGTCAAGGCCACCCTTCGAGCTCATGGATTGTCCTCCGATTCAATCAACAGCTCGCAGTAGTCGTAGAAGTGTAAAAGAAGTTGCAATTTCTGGCTCATCGAGGACGTAGTATCGTCCCTTCGATTGAGATTAACCCAGCCCCTATCGTCACGGTTGGAATGGCATGTGAACGTCGTCGTCGCCGATTCTGTATAAGTCACTGTCGGTATGGCGAGACTCGGACGGTCACGATAGTACGTTAAGCTGTATCTGTGCATAAGGTGGTCACCACGCGCGCCGGGAGAGGTTTCGATAGGCTCTCTTGTGCTCTCTCCCTATAGCAAGAGTGGCAGATGGTGTACGCAGACGGTTTTATCCACCGTAGAGTGTTAACCTTACCAGCGGATGGGACGGACCAAGCGATCTGCAACGACTGGACGTTTCAACCTGTTCCGTCCTGTCTGTCATGGACCAAGCGATCTGCAACGACTGGACGTTTCAACCTGTTCCGTCCTGTCTGTCATGGACCAAGCGATCTGCAACGACTGGACGTTTCAACCTGTTCCGTCCTGTCTGTCTGACGGTTCCGTGTTACAGACAAAACGCAAGCACGAGAGCAAAGTCAAAACAGCTTTTCCAATTGGCTAAAAAGCCCTCACGGGGTCCGCCGTCGTCTGCCCTCGGGCAATTGCTTCAGCCGTCGCCGACTCATGTCGCGTTCATACCGGAGAAACCGCTCAAAAGCTGATAACCCAAGCAGCATCTTTCTATTTCTATTTCGTCACCCACGCCGACCTTCCCCATGAGCGCTTACTGGCACGAAGGGACGACCGACCCGCTCGAGCATTTCCACCCATCGATCAGCGCTGGACCTTTGGACGCTTCCGACCTCGATGACGTCGACTTTTCGTCGGAGTTTGACGTCGTAGAGCGCGTCACGGACGCTGACATTTACGAACCTGAACCCTCTCCGTTCTTTACAGTCTACAGTCCTCCTGCCGCCTCCTCTTCAGCTCCTGCTCCATCCAAGGTACCGGAATCTCGCTCGATATCGCAACGGATGCTGCACTTGTTGCAGCGACATCGTGGAAAAAAGAGCCGCGCAGCTGCTGCTTCGCTCTCGCCATTGCCATTGGGAGCTTTGGAGCGGAGCGTCGAGGACTCGATATTGGACTCACGGTGCTCTCCCGTGAACAACAAGATGCCACGGTCGAGCACGGACAGAGTGGCGGAAGCTGATCTGCTGTCTTCCCGCTCGGGGACCTCGTGCACGGACCGACTGGAAGCGAGGATTTCCCAGAGTTTTCTCATCAGACGCGAGAGCCAGTTTAAACTTTTGGACATGGAAGACAGTCAGGACGTGTCGCTGCTGTACTCGGGAAGGAGGACGTATCCGGCTGAATCCGTGACGCAATTGGATCACGCAAGACGGTCTAATCCTGACTGGAGTTCCCATCCGGTTTCGTCTCCGGAGACCAAAATGATGAAAGTGCTGGAAAAAGAACGCGCTTCGAGGATGTTTAGTGCTCCTTCACAGTCGAATCCGACGCTTTCTACACGTGCTAAGAAAGACAATGGCGTTAGATTTCACTTTCGAAGGGGAGCTCCAGTGGATAAGAACGACATGTTGGACGGCCGAATGGGGACCTTGGTTCTTAACGGCGATCGAGTACACGCTGAGGTTGAGACAGCGTTGGTGAAAGCGCAATCAGTGAAGCGTGTGACGGACGTGGAGTACACGACGCTAGCTTCGCAACTTGCAGACATTGAGTCATTCGTAGATGGCATGGAGAGGTGCATCGGGACACCGTCGTTTTTGGCGCTCTCTGCAAATGTGCTGAACGAGATGAAACTGCTTATGGAGACGACCCAGCAGATTCGTGCAAGCGGAACGACGCTGATTTTGGCACACGTGGGCAACCACCAGAACGTGGACTTTGCGCAGGCTCTTCGACGCCTGGTAGCGAGAGCAGCGTCGGTTCAGAAGCGCATTAGTATGCTCCTGGATGCTAGTTATGGCGTCAAGCGCTAGTGCCTGGTTGTCTATGGTCGACCAGCAGTGAGCAGTTCTGTAGTGGCGTGTACCACCGCGTTGCTCCGTATCAAGCTACGGCGTAAGTACCGTGCTTTCTTTTCTGATCGGCATTATCTACTTGACGAGCAAACTGGGTGCGATAAGGCGACCTGCTTCTTGCAGTCTGTGCTGCCGTTTGAAGACGTTAGTGGCGGGTCGTTTTGGCAGCATGTTTGCTCGATTCTTTATGAGGGAGACGTAGGACGTCTATTTTTATTCACGTGTAGAAGTTTGCATTTCTATTCAAGCCATGTATGATGTATCCCCAGCTGCACGATAGTAAACAGCACATCAGACGATGTAAGTTGTTGAAAAGAGGTCGATCTCGAATTTCCACCAAACAATACAGTAATAATGGGTTTGCCAGCCAGTATTTGGAAACACTTTGAGGTGCACCAGTTCTTTTTACGCATTATGCAGTGCCCAAGCTTCTAATCGATCTCGTATGACCTGTCCAATGTCCCCTCGTCTTGCAGTCGATACAACTCTAAAGCAACTGCAGATTGTAAGGAGATCGATGTAAGCTATCGATTTCACGCTTCAAGATACCACGTCGACAGTGACTTTTAATCTGCATTTACCTGCTTTCGATAGCTTTGGTGTTTCAGATCATTAAATGACAACCCACGTTACAAAATGCAAGCACTTACTGCTAGGAGCTCAAAAGATCGTAAGCAATTGAGTCGGCCGTGCTTGCATGGAGAAATGCGGAACACGGAAACAAGGAAATCGTTATCTCTTTTGTTGCAAAGGTTACCTTATTGTGCGTTATGCAGACTGCAAGATGGTAGCGGACAGATTGATGTGGCCACTTCAGGTAGGTCTTGCTTGGAGGCTGACAAGATGTGACCTAAACGGGCAACTGCACAGCTCCATGATCGAATTCGCAGGCCATTCATGCGGATACACGTCGGTGCGGATATTCCTGTGCTGTTTCTATCGGGTGTGGATCAAGTACGTGACTTGCGTTTTGAGAACCTGAAGTCCTAGGCACAAATTCACCTCGACCGAACGTCGGCTGTCACGTGCAGAAGGAATGTAACAAGTTGGCAAGGAATACATCTCGTTGAAAAAAACGTCTTCGAATAGCACGTACAGATGAAGTTAGTAAACCTCGGCCAGCACAAACTGCATCTTTTCGACCGATGAAGACACGACTTTAACGGTGCATTTTCCAGATCTCAGGTGCACATCGCCCCCAGTGTTCAGTGAAACTAAGCTTGTGGTATCGTTTTCCTCGTTATTCACAGCCGTGGCGACTTGCGCTTCACAGTCGTCCAGCGCCAGCAACACTGCTTCAGTCGGCAAGTCAAGTGAAATTTTGCAGCTCGCGTGGTCCTTAGCTTGCAATGTGATGCGGTACACGCGGCATTCTGGCTCGTTTTTGAGTAGCTCAATGCCTTTACCAGAGTGTAGCGGAAACTGCCCATTCGGCACGATGTCGACCTTCTCTTTGAGGAGCTCAATTTCAATGAGGAATGCGGGCAGCTCTTTCGTAGTCGCGATGTGGATCAGTTTGTCAATGGTGTGGTCACGACAGAAGACAGCACCTTTTTTCTGGACTAATGGCCGAGGTTGTTGGCCATAAGGCTGCTCAATCACACTAAGCGGTGCCATCACCACGTAAATTCCGTACTTTAGATGCTGGTGCCACTGACACGTCGTGTAAGGAGGAAACTCTGCACACACGAGACGCATGGTTCGAGTGCACCATCGCTGCTTGTGAAGTGGCTCGAAGTTGACGAGAACGTAGTCAATGTCCGGCTCAGTGTCGTCTCCGCGCATCTTAGAGTCCATCGTACAGCGTTTTCCGTGTCTTGGCGACAATGTCCTGGTATGTTTGCAAAGCGATCGTGATACAATTTCGAAGTCTAGATGAGTTCCAATTTGCTATTTTGAATGACCGCGGAGACCAGTCCGTTACGATACCGTGCCACTGTGGTCAAGCGACTGCGATATCACATGGTCTGCTAACAGTTATTTCGACTTGGACTGACTAGGTCACTCGTTTCGCTTCAACGGTACCATCGCTAATGACGCTTCTCACCGCTGTTTGTTTGGAAGCGTAAGAAAAGTAGAGAGCAAAAGGCTGCACCTGACGACGCAAGCCAGAAGAAAGACATTTCGTCGGTCTGCCGAATGCCATCGCCACCTTCAGCGCGCACACAAATTACTGCCGATAACCAGACCTTCCAGCGGAAAAGTGACTACTATTTCTCAGCCATCCGGCGCGACGAGTAAGGGCCTTAGTAGGCATGTGCGACATTTGTGCGGCCAAATGGTCCGTCTTATGGTCAACAAAGCACTAACTCTTTGGTCTTACACATCGTGACTCCATACACTTGAGAGTGCGCGAGATTATGGAAAATGCAATGCTCTTGCTCTCCTTGAAAAAGCTTTGATGCATGATGAGTAGTGGCGCTTCGTGAGTAGTGATGAACGTGCGATAATTTGTCTTATTGTGGCCACGGCAAGGAGAAATGGAAGCCGGCACTTTGGTTCAGTGGACACGACAGGGGCCACACTGTCACAACATGCGGTGCCATGAGAACGCGTATGATGTTCTGTGCCGCAGTACAGATATCTGCGATGACAACTACACAGTGCTGCTGAAGTCCACCGACACCGGATCTAATGTCTGACTCGGTCCCTGAGATCCTATATCGCCACTTGGGAGCTTCACTGCATGTATGCACAGCGCATTGTGCAAGCGATTCGCATCGTCGAATAATTTTGTTTGCGATACTTTCTGCACTTCTTGTGTAGCGTGTGATGCAGTGACATTCGTGTCAAGACCCCTAGTGTGTCTGCCTATCAGCAGTACTATTCACCCGCGTTTCGGATGCCACACGCAAGAGCTCGACCTAATGTGGCACCAGGTAGCTCGAGTAGAGATTTTTTATTCCCCAGATCGCATCTTCACATGAGATGACTATGTCTCTTCATACGCAGACTGCTGGTCGCACTATCAACTATCCTGGTAACCTCACCCTGTATTTGGATGAGCTAAAATTGCTTGAATGCTCGGCATCTCGTCTACCATTCCATTCACATTCGAAAAGTCGGCCTGTAACGGATACAATTAGTGTGTGCGTGTTGTCAATCGACAGAGTACGCATCACGTACCTCTTTGAGATGAAATTCACTCGCTGCGAAGCCTGCAGCGGCGTTTTTGGACGAACTATTCGAGTTCTTGACCCTCCGAGAGGCTGGACGGGAGGGCGCAGTGATCCACCTGTAGCCATAACACGTAAGGAAACAATCAAATACTTCTCTGCGAGACGAGCAACGCACCGATTTGGGGTCTAGAAAAGTGGTCGAACATGCCAACATTTGGCCTCTGGATCGTCCGTGCTGTTTCAGGAATCCCCATATTCCCCATAGGATTACGCATCGACGAGCTAGGCGCTTCCACTGCATAAGGTCTGGTCATCGGTCTCATCGAAGGACGGCTAAATTGGCTGGCTTGCGAGACAAGTGGACCACCGTCCTGATGTAGCATTCCCATCGTAGAACGGGTAGGTGATGGGAGTTGCCGAGAACCTGATTGTGATTTGAGTGTCTTGCACTATAGTATCAAACGCAGAGTTAGAGTATCGTCTATCGCTTTGCGATTTGTGCCGAGGACTCACCATTTTTTCCCAGTTCCGGCATTTTCGCGACTTCTCTTTGTATGCCTGAGGGACAAATGTCATGCTATAAGCTCCTCAAAACCGAGTACATGAAACACACGATCCAGTATTACCTCGCGAAGCTCGTCGTTTGAGCTCGTCAGAGTTTGCATCTTTGACTTTGTCTCACGAAGTTCTGCTTCAAGCTGGTCGGTGTAAGTCTTCAGCTGAATATACTTTTCCCCATGTTGAACTTGAAACGTCCTTTGTTCCTCGGCTGCGGTGCATTTTTTTCATTCACGCTTTAAGCCACTGCCTGCTCCATTTATCCCTATTCAACAAACCTTGTTGACGTCTAATTTCTTCCTGTTCAGTCAAACACAACATGAGGGACTACTGAACACATCAAAAGCCTGAAAATAGCCGCTCACCTGTCTACTCAACAATCAGTCAGTTTGACGATGCTAATCAGCGCATTGCACAAAACTTACCTGAATGAGTCTTGTGCCAGCTGGAACTACAGTGGAAACAATCGTCAGCAATTCGAAACCTAGACCACATGCCTGGGCTGCCTGCATACCAAGATAAAATCTGCAGAAACGCTGTCAGATTTTATACTTCTGGAACGAGCTGCGACTGTGCGTACCCAATGCTTGCTGAAAATGCTCTGTACAGAATGGACACCAACAGTGAGCGACTAGTCAATGTTCTACATGCTTTACGATCACAAATATTTCCGACCGAAGCATGACGATGGATCGGCCATCATTTCTTCCCAAATGGCCTACTCAGAAAACGGTAAAGTGTTAACAGAGCTTCCAATGACTGTAGATTATCTGCATCACAACAACCTCCGTCCTCTGCTCACATACACACAAGCAGCTCATGTTATAATCATTGAATTGTACAGAATCAGCGTCAACTTCTCGTACTTTGGGGTCTGCAACGCCATGGATCGTCCTGTAACACTGTCAGTAACTGAACATTCAAACAACATCCACGTGCTTCTCGAATGTCAAGTGTACGTTTCAGAGATCCCGCCACGTCTTTTCCATCCGAACGGAGTCAAAACGCAGTCAGCTATCGACCACTTTTATCCAGCAAGCAGCACTGCACACAGTAAAGCCTACGCTTGACTCAGATCTGCAAACATGCACACAAAAACACGGAGTACATTGCTTAGTCTAGTCAACGAAATGTCGCCATATGCGCAGCTACACGGCCTACCGACTTGACAGGCAGGACACTCGAGTCGCCCCTGTCCGAAGTGTTTGTAGGCGCATTTCTCCTGCAACACACCAGGCACTAACATCAGCACGGATCACCCAACCTGACTACCAAAAGACACTGCAGCCTACACAGAACAAGTGACCGCAGCTTGTGCGGTAGCACGTCTCGGCCGACTGCGCGTCAGGCAGAATGGGCTCCCAGCACGCGTTGCAGCGCAACTGCGGACGCACGCGCGATTCCGAGAGAGAGGATACATCGCCTGCGCCGTCCATGTCCCCCACCGTCGACGCCGCTTGTCTCTGTCCTCGATTCCGCATGCTCGACGTGTCACTCATGCGGCTATCATCATCCATCGCGAACACTTGTGCAATGCGGAAAGCAGTGCGGAAACGAAGAGTGATGGTCACTTCAACTTGCACTTGCGGCGCTTCCATCGTGTTTCTATGCGCAGATTTCTATTCGTAAGAAACTCCATCATTTCTAAAGCCGGTTTCTACATGGCAAACGTCATTGCCGCCGAGGACGACTCGAACGGATGGCATGAGGTCGAGCAGACGCTGACGGCTCTGGAGCTGCCATCCGTTCCCCCGACATCGGACCCACAGCGACTTCTGGGATATGTACTTCACATTCTTCCAAAATACACTGAGATGGAGATGCTAGTGACGCACCTGCGACTGTACGCATCGACGCTGGAGCAAGATATGGAGCAGGTCAAGAGCCACGTCCGGCTGCTGACACGTGAATCGAACGCGGAGCGAGAGAAGAAGCAGTTTCTAGAGCGATATGCTGCACAGGTGGTCAAGGAGCGCAATGATCTGCTGCACTCGAGAGGGTCCTCGAAGCAGAAGAAGGCATCGCCAGGCTCGCACTTTGTATGGCACAATTGCTGCAAGAAAAACGCTAGCCACGCTATGGACTTGTCGCCGTCAATTTTGGCTTTTCGAGGCGAGAAGCTGCAGGAAGCAATGAAGAAGGTGGAAGCATTGGAGGGAGAAGTGCATAACCAGGAATTGCTGCGACGAGAGCTCAACTTTCTATTGAAAAAGACGCAACGAGAACATGACAGCAAAGTGTCAGCCGACCGTACACATATCCATCACCTGGAGAAGCAGATTCTACAACGGTCGACTTTGCACTCGAGTCTGGAGAGAAAGCTGTATGAAGTCGAGTCGGTGCTCGCCCGACTTGACAAAACAAAGGAAGAAGAGCTAAATACTGTCAACAATCGTGTTAAAGAGGCGGAAGCTCGAAACAAGGGTTTAATGGAAGAAAATGCAAGTTTGCACGTGCTGGTAAAGAGGTTGGGTGATGAAAGGGATGACGTGACGCAGTTGTTGAAGCAAACAACCGAGTCGAAGGATCTTTTTGCAAAGCGAATTGACACGCTTTCTGAAAAGTGTCGCGCGTTGGAGTCGGAAGTAGAAGCCTTGCGATCTGAAATTGAAGTGCTGCAAACTAAGGATATTAACGATATTCGCACACAGTATGCTGCTCGAATTAGCCGACTTCAGCGAGACAGAGCCGCATGCGAGGAAGCATTACACCAAGAGATTGACCGGTTGAAGCAAAAGTTGACAAAGCGTGACGAGTCGCTTGCGCAGGCGTGTAGATCACATCAATCTACAAAGGAGGTGAGCTCCGAGGACCGTCCCGTGAGTCAAACCAGTGGCTTGGAAATCGTTTCTGATTGTGGTAATGGTTCGAAATGGAGTGATGGTATTTTCGGCGACGACCGACGTTTTGATATGCATGGAGTAGAGCTCTCATTTTCCAGGAGCGATTTGCCGGAATCGCATCTGTCTCTTGACTTGTCATATTCTTCGTCTAGGCACAGCGCTTTACAAAAGGAAGCTGAGGCTATCGAAAGCAGCGCATCGAATCAGCACTACAAACAACTTTCATCTTGTCGAAGTTACACCAGTTCTAGCAAGCAAGGATTCTCAAGGGCGCTTGAGTCAATTTCGAGAGACCTTAGTACGTCGTCCAACGAGAACGACAACCAGTCACGTAACCATGGGGCGGACGTAAATGCATTCGATGAGCCGTTCGACTGGGAGATGTTTATTGACAGCGTTTCCGAGATTTCCGTCTTACGAGATGAGCGCAAGACGATGCCTTTTGTCAACGACAGTATTTCTGAGATTTCGCTTGAGCAAGATGGCAACACACCGTGCCATTCATCATCATCTATTCCGAGGCACTCGGACCTTGATGTTAGCGCAACACGTCACGATGATAGCTTCCTGAGAGTCCCCGGCTCCAGTTTTGATGCGGCATCTCCTGCTCGCGCCGACAATTTGACAGCTAAGCAGTCTGAAGTCAATTCAGAATGCGATCGCTCTTCCGATGCAAAGGATGATCGATCTGTATGTAACCGAAGTAGACATGAGTCGGAGCGCGACGAGGAAGGAAAAAGATTGGACGCAGATGGCGTTGATCTCACCCAGGAGCGGCGCTGTAATCGGAATTCGGGTAGAAGGACCGAGCAGGAACAATCTGGTGACTGCCAAGAAAGTGTTATGGAAGGAGTGGCCGCAGAAAATAGCTTCGCTCATGACATCTACCAGATACTGAATGGGTTGGAGCAGAAGCGGAAAGAAGAGGAGCAAAAGGCTTCACAGGCTGAGCAGGCTTTGTTAGACTTTCAGCAACTACAGCAGGACTTTCAGGCCTTGCAGGTCATTCCTGCCTCAACAAACGAGTCGAGATGAGTGGTGACTGCTCTTGGCATGCTAAGGCTACGGGTATCGCGTGAGTTAAATGAGCGACGTCGGTCCAGTCGTGTCCTTGATCTTGTGATCAGCTGGTTGTGGACGGGCTTCGTAAACGCACTCAACCACGCCGTGACGCCACTGAGCCACGAGACGAAAGTAACAGCTGAGTATCACATGACAAGCATCGATCGATCCAGTGCCACCAGTGCACGCACCTTTTTGCTTTCACCTTTGAGCCCAATATAATAGATCTTCGTTTCATCTCCTCCGTAACTGCCCTCAATATAGAGCGTCACGTTGCTGACACCTTGAAACTTGCGCACCCTGCAACAACTTTGAGCAATTCCACTCACCCACCTCGCAAAGGATACACGACATCAATCAACGTACTGGAGCGGATAGTCGATACTAGCCAAGTCATCCTCTACCAGGTCCAATCGCTGTTGTGCCGGCAGCTCATTTGCATTGGAAAAGTCAATGTCTTCTCGATTCGTGAACCTATCCATCGTCACCATAACCACGTGAGATATCCTTCACAACAAGACCCCGATGAATAAAGCCGTTTCGTACAGTTTGACTGCATTAGGATGCGTCCCGTCACCCACACAGCCTGAGATACAAATGGACTTGATACTAACAGCCTCTGTAAAGGGAATATAGAGAATCATCTCCGGATCGCTGTCGTTACTGGCTAAAAAGCGCGACCGATCTTGACGTTCGTGGAATGGTTTGAACGGGTTTGCAGCAGCCAGCGGATCCAGCGCATTGAGAACGCGTAACTTGCTGGTATCAATGTAAGGGTATAAAGAGTCACCATTGGCGTCTTTTGCTTCCTCGTCGTGGTCGTGATCATGGCCGTGGTTATGGCCGTGGTTATGGTCACCACCGAGTGCCGAGTGAGCGTCGTGGCAGCTTCGCATCGCGAAAAGAGCTTGTCGAATAAAAAGTGGCTCGGATTGGCTGAAAAGAAGTGTCGGTACACGCGCAAAATGGAGTGCGTATGTGTAGCCATTACGAGTCCCAACAATGGCGTGTTTGACGAATGTATTTCTCCTGTGAACCAGACGTTTGTGGCAGTAGATGGTGGCGACACGTTCACGATTGGACTTGTGGCTCCCAGTGGAGACGTGGTTGGATGGGGTCGTGCATTCTATGGCGAGTTACCGACTAAACCTGTCGAGCAGTGTCAATCGGTGGCTTGTGGCTCGAATCACGTCTTGGCACTGACTGTCACGGGTCAAGTAATGGCGTGGGGATGGAACCGATTTGGTCAAGTCACAACGGTATCAACCGATAAAATTGTGCGCGATCCAATAGTTGTGCAGTTCTCTCTTGGGATGGAGGTTGCACTTCCTGTGCAGATTACCGAAGTAGCAGCTGGAGGGATGCATTCGCTTGCAATTGACTCTTGTGGACGTGTCTGGGCGTGGGGATCCAATACGTACGGACAGCTGGGCATTGGCTTGAAAACGGAGCAGCTTTGTGCGCCACGATGTGTAATGCTACCGTTAGGTGTCCGTGTCCACCACATTGCTGCAGGATGGGCGCACAGTGCATTGATCTCGACGGTAGGAGAAGTATTCACTTTCGGTTGGGGGCTGTACAACCAGCTTGGCCACGGGTATACTCGGGATGAGCCTTTGCCTGTTGCCGTTGATGCTCTTCATGGGATCGATAGTGACGTCGTGCAAGTTGCATGCGGCAACTGGCACACAGCAGGTGAGACGTTGCTTGATTATATCAGGCTGCTGGGATATCATCTACTTGAACGCTGATGACTGTCGTGCATCTAGCTTTGACAGCATCCGGCGACATGTACACGTGGGGGTGGGGAAGAGACGGGCAACTGGTGCGTTCTGGATGCAGCTTGCCACTGCGATGTATGATGTATGTACTGACGCTGCCTCGCATACAGGGCCATGATCACTCTATTACAACGCAAGTGCTCCCCCGCGTAGTAAATGTGTTATCGAGTATAGAAGCCCAGGACGTGACGGCTATTGCATGTGGCAGCCGCTTGACCATCGCACTGCTCCAAGACGGCTCTGTCCAGTGGTGGGGCTTATGGTCAGCAGAAGACGTATCGCCCAGCATCGTAACACGCCAGAACTCAGCGCTGCATCGAGGAGGGTACGTACCTCAAGATGGACGGCGTGTTTGCAAGGTAGCAGCTGGCAACTCGCACGCGATTCTTTTGCTTAAGAATAGAGAGCACGAAGAAACTGAGCAGATACTGACAACGTGTAACAATGGAATGTTGTATTAAGCAACAAACATTTTCACGGCATCGGGCTACAAGGACTCGGTAGTAGAGAAACTGTTTATAGTCGATAAAGCTCCACCATGGATCCATCCAGCCTGTCAAGGGCGTTGATAGTACGGAGTAGTAGAGCTCGTTTCGAAGAGTTCGATTTACATGACAGTGCAGCCACAGACTCCACAGGCACCCGCCGACTCCTCGGGCTTCTTCTCTTTCTTCTTCTCCTCCTTGGACGTCTTCCACTCCTCCTTCATCTTCTTCCCCTTGGCCACACTGTCGTTCTTGTAGCCCTCCACAGTGCTCGTGACTTTGGCCGTGAGGTCCTTTGCGTCCTCCACCACGTGTCGCGCCTTGTCCTTGACCTTGTCAGCAGCTCCAGCGTTCGCCTTTGGTGCAGCGTTCCATGCCACGTGTTCTTCCTTCTTCGCGTGCTTTGTGGCAGCTACGGGTTTGGACGCGCGCGGGGGCTCTTGGCCAGGCACGGGAGCAGCGTTCCAGGGTGAGTCCGACATCGTCCGAGTCTTTTATGTGCCTGCGTGGGGGTGCGAATCGACGAATGAGCTCGAAGATCGAAGGACGAACTGATTTAAATTGAGGTGGACGACACTGCTCAAGTCGATTCGGAAGCCAATCGGAAGAGGAACAGGGTTTGACAAAATTTGGAAAAAGCAGAGTCGATTGGTTCACGCAGTCGGGAGCTGATGGGTTTACTTTTTACTATGACCGAAAGTCCATGTCGGGTTCACGCGACAGCGGATATTCTGCTGACTTTTGCGACACTTTTGCCTCAAAGAGCGGGTCCACGAATCAGCGTGCCACTGAAGGTCGAGCACATTACTGGATACTGCAGCCGCCACATGTGCCGCACGCTCCAGGTGCATCAGCCGGTCTACTAACGGCCGCCTCCACCATCGGGATCTTCTTTGGTTTGGCCACACTGTTGACCTCGTAGCTGGCTACACCATCGAACGCGTTCGCGATGGCCTTCTTATCAATCTTGGCGTCCTCAGCCATAGCTTCAGTGGTAACGACAGCCTCCTTAACGGCCGCTACAGGCGTCGCCTTGGTCACATTCTTTGGCTCGTTATCAACAATGACGTGCTTCTGGACCAACTCTGCTTCCTTTGCGGGCTTTGTCGGCTTATCCACCACGGCAGCTTTCATCTCTTTTTGTGCTGGAGCCGCATTCCACGCCGAAGATGATGGCGGCGTTTCCTTCTCTGCCTCGACAACAACCTCCTTGACGGCTGCTATAGGCGTCGCTTTGGTCACATTCTTTGGCTTGTTATCAACAATGACGTGTTTCTGAACAGACTCTGCTTCCTTTGCGGGCTTCATCGACTTCTCCACAACGGCAGCTTTCATCTCTTTTTGTGCTAGAGTCGCATTCCACGCCGAAGATGATAGCGGCGTTTCCTTCTCTGCCTCGACAACAACCTCCTTGACGGCTGCTATAGGCGTCGCTTTGGTCACATTCTTTGGCTTGTTATCAACAATGACGTGTTTCTGGACCAACTCTGCTTCCTTTACGGGCTTTGTCGACTTCTCCACCAAGGCAGCTTTCACCTGCTCCTGTGCTGGAGCCGCATTCCACGCCGAAGATGATGGCGGCGTTTCCTTCTCCGTCTCAACAACAACCTCCTCAGCATGGGGCTTAACACTCTCATCAGTCAATTCAAACTTCTGCTCGATCGTATCCACCGCGGCGAGGGCGACCTCTTTCAGTACTTTCACTTGAACAGGCGCAGAATTCCATGTGCTAGTTGACGGGGCATCTTCTGCAACATGAACTTCCGCCATCGGCTTGGATGCTGCCGCAATGGGTTCAGAGGTCTCCACCACAGGTTCGCACGACTCCACAATAGGTTCGGACGACTCCGCAATTGGTTCTGGCGTCTTCACTACCGGAACAAGGGTGGCTACCTTTGCTGGCGAAACTTCCTCCCGAACAGGAGTTGCAGCACAATCATTGGCTTCGCTCGTTTTGTTTTGCACAGGTGCCACAGTCCATGCACTTGCTGCTTCCAAAGAGGCTTTCTTGGCGTAAAGTGGCTCCTCATCCAATGCAACTACAGCGGTATTTACCACCGACTCTACTGTTCCTGTCACATTCCCGGGCTCCTTCAAGACAGTATCTACCTCGGTTGCGACAGAACGGATCTCCTCTTGAACGGACTCAGTGGTCCACGAGCCGTCCGATGTCGCGACGGAAGTTCCCTCATCTGCTGTCTCGTTGTGCAGAACAACAAACTCATCGACCATCGGAGCAGGTGCTTCTCGAACTGATTTTACAGCAACCGGTGAATCGCCGAGAGATTCATCCGACACTTCATCTTCCTCCACAATGGTGACCTCTTCTGATACAGATTCTATCACAACAGGCGTCGATTCAGCTCGTGCATGGACAGGTGCAGTTGTCCATGCGCTTGCAGACACTTCCTGCAAAGCTTCTACTCCGGTCGAGTCGTCTTCAGCCTTTTCCTCCACTTCATCCTCCTTCTTATTCACAATAGACTCCTTCACTTCTTCAGCGTCTTCTTCCACAACAGGAACACGGACATCCTTCACCACTGCAGACGTTGCCTTCTTGACTTCCTCCGCAGCTACAGGAACAGCAGACGTCCACGCCGACCTTGACACTGTCTCTTTGGCCTCAGCAACAGGGGACACCGTCCATGCCGATGATGGTGCAGCAGGCTTCTCTGCTTCTTTTGCAGGCTCAAAGGCCGCAGCAAAGATGGGGGTCGTCCCTTTTTTGCTCGGTAGCCCTTCTGCCATAGCGTAGCTGGCCGTATCTGGCTCGGGCTCTGTCTCCGTGGGCGACGACGAAGACGTGACGGGAGATTTAAACGGGTTGCTCGTCTGAAAAGGAGACACGGCCCACGGACTGGCCGACTCGGGACTTGAGGCGGGCGCCACATTCCACGGACTGCTGCTATTCTCGGAGCTCATACTGCTGGGCGATTGGAACTCTTGGTGTGTTTGTACACTGCAAACATCCATCCAAGAGACACAGAGATGCACACCCGTGAGTATTATCGGACGTCAAAAGAGTGAGATGGAAGCGACTGACACTGCTACACTTGGAAAGCGTATACAGTAGACCCTTCGCGCCTCGTCTGCTATCACCCGCGTGTGCTGCGTCTCTAGAAACGACTTGGAACACGCGTTTAAGCTGGAGCAACCTACCTGCTAGTGGCGGGGAACGATGAGGCAATTTGGATCGCTCTTCCCTTTTGTGCGTCTGATGCTCTGTGGGCGAAGCGCTTGAGGGTGCACTGGGGATTGTTAAAAATGACTTCTTGGGGTTCCTAACTCACCGAGCGGCTGCCACTTACTCTCTTACCCATTTTTCGGTTTTTCTGGTGAGTTCGGACGGAGAAATCAGGAGGCTTGTATTAGAAGCTGATATGGCCTCAGTCCGACTCAGTGGTTTCAACGGGACCATACCGCAGCCAGTGCAGACTATACGTAGCCCTGATTTGAAAGAGTATCCGTGGTCTGATGCTTATTTATACTTTTAGCACGCGCTTGTACAACGATACTTTTAGCACGCGCTTGTACAACGATACTTTTAGCACGCGCTTGTGCAGCGATACTTGTACCATGCGCTTGCCTAATGAACACGTTTTATGGAATATGCTTGTCGAACACACAGATGGGTGCGCACCTTACAACGGCAGCATGATTGAGTGGGCACGTTTTGACTACTGTGCTATTTTGCCAGAAAAAAGGGTCGGTTTCGCCACATGCTTTTTGTTTTCACGCAAGCAAGCAATGACCTGAATTGCCTCTCCCGCTTCCCGATTTCTACTGCGTAACGACTGCTGCTTTAGAAATACGAGTGTTGGAAGGAGAGAAAGCATAGTTAACAACTTCATACATTAAAACGCACGCCAGAAGCATTTCGGCACCCCGCCGGGGACCTCATTAGTGGTTTATCCAGTCGAGAAGTGAGATCTTTCTGTATCCTGCGCTACCCAAACTAAGAGCCTTCTAGAAATTAGTGTAACAACACAGATCACCCGCTATAACTACCAAACCTGGCATTAGACCCTGAATGGAGTGTCCGCAATGACAACTCCACTCCCAACACTCCCCGTCGAGGGCCAAGTTGTAACGGGGTGCCCCAGTTACATGATAAAATACATGCGGTAATTATCAAGTATGTATATTATGGTGGGGCAAACATAATATTCTCACAATACTATTCTAATAGGTAATATTGCCTCGCAGATGTAACACACTGCTCTTCGGTTGATGTAGGATCGAGCTATCAACTAATTAAGTCTAGCCACGACAGAAGCATGCATGGAGTGGTGTGCGGACACTTATACTTCATGTTCGTATTAGACATAGATAAATGTAATGAAATAGGGTTTTATTATAAGGAGCAGCTATGCTAAAACAGTTCTACTATTTGTCTTTACGGACTCCTCTTACTCCGTTTATCAATCTTCCTCTGCACGAACGTGTACGTGAGGTAGTCGGACGCACACATCCTTGCACTGTCAGCAGTGCAAGGTTTAGTCAAATAACTGATTAAGGTGTGCCCCGTTACACAAGTTGCTGGCCTCTTTTTCGATCCTCGTCGTAAACCCACGAATTCCCTAAAATGAATCTCCTTTCGAGAGAGCTTTTCACGGTCATTTGGCACCTTCTGGGCGAGTATGTAACGGAGTGAGCCTGTTACATGTAATAAACCCTTGATACTTGTTAACTTGAACATTATCATAAAGGTCGATAATGTTCGTGAATATTTCTGCAAGGGGTAACATTTGAAAACACTCACCAGTTGGCTGATTTGATAACCATCTCAGCCAGCTATAACAGTTCAATCAACAATGGACGCGCACAAAGAGTGGTAGGCAAGGCGTAAGCATCCAGTTCTATGGATAAGTTCGATTAGTTAGTAATAGTGTAATGGGGTGAGCCTGTTACTACAAATTGATACGAATGTATCAATTTCAATAAATATCGATTTGGATAAAATTCAATCAGCATCACTCGTGAAGACGTGATGCTGGCGGAAAACTACGTCTAGGGTAATATTCTGGGTTGCTCCACTTTCAGTTGATGTAGTGTCTACAGCAACTAAATTTATCACCATTCGCTACTGGACGCGCACAATAGGTGGTGAGCAAGAATCGACATAGAAGATTATAGTTTAATCTAGTTAGATCAAGACAAAGATGATTTACAAAGAAACTTATCTATACTAAATACAGCTCTACTTTTTCCTAAACAAATCTCTTATTCTGTTTACTTCGATGCGCTTCCTCACGCCTCTTGTGCGTGATATCAGGAGCACACATTCTTGTGTTCATTCAAAACACCAACTTATCAGTAATCTAGTAAGGTCGTGCCTCGTTACACATGGTAGCTCTTCGTATTCCGTCCATCGATCACAACCACCCCGTTTGACATGAACTTGGTAAATGAGGAGGAGAGCTTTCAAACGCCACGCGAAAAAAAGTCTTCATTGAAGTGACATTCAATGGAGTGAGGTAGGACGTTCAAGTTCAACCGTAGGAGAACCCGCCATTAGCGCCATGTTGGAGTATCACGACAGAGACCAACGATATGCCGCTATAGCCAGATTCATTCGAAATAAGCTTGTCGCTAGAAGTGGTAAAGTAGCCGGACTTTACCAGCAAGGCTCTCAAATAGCCAAAAAGTTGAGAGAACTTGGTGCTCAACATACAGAGCTGATGAGACAGCAGCAATTCAATGCAGCTGTGGGACGGACGACAAACACGTGTCGCCTCGAAACCTTAAAGGTTAATATATCCTGTACAGAGAAGTCGAGCAAGACTTGCTATTGTTATGATTCGTCGCACTAAACAGATCCATAAAGGTACATCGCATCGACAATAAGCATATGAAATTCAAATTTACTCACACCCACTTGTCGTGAATTGCTAAGACTTGGGCCTCAGGACTGGAAATGAGCGACCCGTATGCTTTTGAGTCGCTAAAATCCTTTATAACCTGGATCAAACAGACGTTTGAGCTGCCACGAGGTGGGTCCAGGGCTCGATCAGGGCTTCTGAACTCAAGCAGAGAAGGTGTGATGTGCACGCTTGAGATCAACTTATCCTACTTCTCACGAGTAGCATAACTGCTACCCTAGTACATGAACACACGTTGATTACTGTGTTCATGCAAGGTATCGCAGATGGGCCCGTCAGGAACCACTTGTTCCGCTAAGAATTGGATATGCTTGAACAAGCACTCTCAGCTGCATAACAGGAGGACTTTAGCATGAGCCTGACTCATACTAGCTCCGGATCTTATTGGCTACCGAGACGTCAAGAGACTGGAGGTCCAGAACCACTGGACCTCCGTTATGTTTAAAGTGATGTATTCCGCCCTTCAACAACAAGCGATTGCAGAAGTGCAATTACTGCCTGAAGTTAGGACAATACGCCTACGAGTGTAGTGCCCACACACAGTACCAAGCAATACTGAGCGAAATGATCGACCATTTGCCAAAAAGGGCAATAGGCGTAGGTCCAACGCTGTTGCGAAACCGCAACAGTGAAGCGACCATAAAAAATGGTCGGGGTCAGTAGAAGCGGAACGCCCTACTTATTAAGCAACATCAAGAGAATTTGCAAATCTTTAAACGAAAGTTGCTCCAGATACACAATCATTGTGTGTATCTGCATCTAATGATGAGATATTACACATCACCTTGAAGTTTCAAGTGACAAATCATTTCTCAATTCTTGCTCGAGTTGACTGTGGGGCGTCTAACAAATTTGTTCGTCGTCAGTCACTCGAAGGTCGTAGACTCAAGTTCTTCAAGCGAGACATCCTTTTAACCGAGGTGACGGTGTGCCTTGTCACAGGCACTTCAATGGCCTTTAAGAAACGTGCAATAAGGATATACTACTTGTTGGAGGGATAACAGTAGGATGATAATTTCATCGTGCTGGATCTGGAGGACAAATTTGGTGTCATCCTGGGATTAGCTTGGCTTAGAAGGTATGATATAAGAGTGAGCTGGCAGCATCGATCCATGAAGATGCCTGCTGCTTGTTCATCAGATGGCCATCTGGAGAACGTCATGGAGCGTCTACAAGCATGTCGATGTGCTTTGAGTGTGTGCAACGGAATCACTTGCGGTATGGTCGTTAGTAAGACAACAAAAGACCTCATTGTAGCTGATTCCTACACTGTGGAGGAAGCTCCCGGTGTCTGTACAGAAGTACAGGCAATTCCGAAGGTCCACCACTCGAATAAGTCGAGTGGATCGAGAAGTGGATGCATGCCTAGCAGGCAGCATCTTTGGAAAAAGGGACCGGCTGCAACCAAAGGGCAACACGCTCATCCTAGCTCGACTAGAGAGTAGAACGTAGAAGATCAGTAAGTGACTTTGTTTGCACAGACACAGTCAGAATATGTCAAGGTATAAGTCTTCACGTACTTGAGGGAGAAGTTCCTCAAGAAGCTAATGGTGAGGTAATGAGACCTCATCAGCCTGAGGTAAAAAGTCTCCGGCAGAACAAATTCCAGGAGGAAACCGATACATTGAATATCTTGGTCAATGACGATTCAAGTGTAGGTGCTCATACACGTGTTCTTATCGCGCCTCCGAGGTTGACTTCGGAGGTCACTCATCTGCCAACGCTAGAATCGAGGCGTTTATTGAGATATTTGGTGTGGTGAAGCGAGTATTCGAAAACGATGAGCTCAAGGGTTGATGAGCCGAATGGACATGGGATCTCGCTGCCGGGAAAGGGACCGGAAACTTGGGGCCACAGGTAAGGAGCGGTTAAGGTTACTTCGAGCTAAATCAAACCGACCACGGTACCAGTTAAACGGTATTGATATGAATCGTTCTTAACCACTCGTCGGTCGGCCCTGGTCTCCCAATGTGGACCTCGGTCACTCGTAGGCCGACCTGGTCACCCATAAGTCGACTTGGCTATTAAGGTCTGGTGGTC